TTTTTATCGAAACTGAGGTCTTTCAATCCATTATAAAAAGGCGTAACTTCCTCTAAGATTTTATGAATTCCAGTGACTGTTATCATTGAAGAATTTCTAATTTTCAGTTCCTCGAAAGTTTCAACGAATTTTCAATTTAAACTACTACGTTTATTACTACACTAGCAGATTTTTCACCTGGGTTGCGTAACAATTCAGTGATAATGCCATTATTGTACCAAATTTTTGGCGCTTAATAATTAAATTTCTTTCGAATTGGTGATTAATAATTTATTGTAAGTCTTTGTTAGACTTGTTCTAAATTGAGTCTTTACGTTTTCTCTTTATATCAAGACCCGAAAAAAGGAAAGCGATGAATCGTAGTCCATGGAGAGACGAATTCGGTCCAATAATCAATACACTTCGCATTTTGGTGCGCAGCCAGTTAGGCTACCAAGTGCGACATCTTGACTTCAAGTAAGTTTTTCAGATCTAATTGGAAATGTCTGCAACCAGTTTCCCTGGGGCGATATATGTATCGACATATTTCACCAACATTCACTTCATGGATTTTTGCAACTGGGTATGTAGCAGTTCATATACTTTATAGAGTTGTTTAGCATTTTTATTATTTTTTAAATCAAGCAGTTACTTCAAGAGGTGGAAACTGGACAATCGACAGATTTTGCGATCTTTTTGGACGTGCCCAAACTGTTTCCGCAAGCATTAAGGAAATCACGAAACTTGCTACCAAAGGGATATATCCTGGTTGGTGTTAATTTTCATGATGGATGCAGATGTCTAAAAATTTTAATTCTTTCTGTACTGATCTTTTTATGATGATGACGAAGTTTCTGGACTGTATTTACAGGTACGGCAGGTTACACGGTCTCGGACGCAACTTTTGACAATTCGTCGAATCTTATGCATCAAACTTATGAAGTAAATGATTTCTTCTTTAAGAGATTTGTTTCAAGAATTAATTTTAATTCTTAATGAATAACAAACCTTATCGCTAAAATATTATTGCATAGGAAGCCGAAACTTCGAGCAACTCTGATAATAAATCCTGGAAGAATGATAATGGGTCAAGTCGAAAACAAGCTTTCGAAAGTACGGCATTAGAGCTTAACGATACTTTGAGATAAGTCTCTCCTGGTATAATTTATGAATCACTCTAGGCCAAAGATATTCGCTGATTAAGAATTTATGCAAATTAAGAAATGTCTGGTCCTTCGGAGAATTTTGCCTAAAAACACTAGATTTTTCTTTCAGGAAGGATACAGATATTGTTACATCAGTAATCTCTCCGAAACCGAAGTATTATGGACCACGTTTGCCAGAGGTTTGATTTCTATAACATCAAGCTGCATAATTCATCTTACCCGATTACGCGGAACTAAAACGAGATGCAATGCTTATTTAGGGATACCAGTTGAAAGCTTCGGAGGTAGAATTTTTAAATACGAAGAATCGGGAGCGCAAGGTACCGAGTTCTCGCATAGCAAGATTTGCTCAATTTGGCCAGCTTGGAGTGAGTCTTATTATGGGTGCAGCTGCGGAAGTGAGCAAGCGAACACTGGGATTTAGTAAAGTAAGTTTACCGTCAGTTTGAGATTTTAATTTCGTCTTTCGCTGGAACTAATATTTTAGAACCGTGATTTCGAAATCAAATAATTTTAGCCTGCAAATCGATCAGCAGATAACAGTATTACCTCTGCTACTGGAAATCCGTTCATGACGGAGGCGAATGCTGAGAAGATTGTGCGCACCCTGTGTAGAGTGCGTGGTGCTGCATTAAAACTAGGTCAAATGCTCAGCATACAAGGTTTTTATTCTTCATCCCTTTTGTTCATCAAAATTTTTTCATGAATCTGTTTCTGTAGCTTAAGGTGTATGTTTAAAGTATAAACTCATGCCGGTACTATCATCTTTTGTGTAAAATAAGGACTTGTTGCCTTTGCTTCAGTTTAATTGGTATAGGTAATTCAAGTTTAGATTCGGATTTGATTTCGCCAACGTTACTCAAAATATTTGATCGCGTTCGACATAGTGCTGACTTCATGCCATTATGGCAGGTTCACCGTCAGATGTGTGATTCATTTGGTGACAATTGGCGTGATAAATTTGAAAAATTTGAGGATATTCCGTTTGCCGCTGCATCCATCGGACAGGTTAGGTATTTTAGCATGAGCCATAAGTAGAATTAGTTCAATTTATTTTGAGTAATTTGTTTATGCACTTTTCATTTATGAGAGTATGATAGAATCTTTTATTCGGGTGTTACAGGTTCATCGGGCTTGGCTGCCTAGTGGAGAAAAGGTTGCGTTGAAAATTCAGTATCCTGGAGTATCAGCAGGCATTGACTCAGATATTGATAATTTAGTGACAATACTGAACTATGGAAGCTTCTTCCCGAAGGGTCTTTATCTGGAAAATTTCGCAACGGTGAATTGGTTTAATTTTTATCAATGTGGAAGACAACATTTGGTTTAGCACTCAGAAAATTTCGAATTTAGATTAAATGTATCCGGGACTAGTGTTTGACTTCTGGGCCTTTGTTATTGTTAGTTATTATAAAATTTAGGTAGCAAGAAAAGAATTAAAGCTGGAATGCGACTACAAACGCGAAGCACGTGCTATGAAAGCATTTCAATGTTTATTGGTCGATGACGAACATTTTTATGTTCCTAAAGTTTGCAGTTAATATTGCTTTTGAAATGTTTTATCATCGTTTTTTTTCTTAAATTTTTCCCTGGAAATATACTACTTGGTTTCTAATTGGAATAAATTTAGAATGGAGGGGGATTTCCCAAAAAGCGATTGAATTGGAAATTTGATAATTTCGTCTGATAATTTCACAATTAAACATACAGACTCTTTTTTCACCTTTTCTCCGCTGATTGTGCAATGTATGAAAATATCGAAATAGCAGCATATTAAACTATTCTGTCCTTCATTAGGTATCAGTCGTCTGCGTAAAATTTCTTTCCATTAGTGATCCGATAATTGATAATTTCAGGTGATTGATGATCTAACTACAACACATGTGTTGACAACAGAGTACATGGAAGGTGTTCCTGTTGACAAATGCATGGATGAGCCGCAAGAAGTCCGTAATTACATTGCTTCTAAATTTATCGAGCTTTGTCTACGCGAAATTTTCGTCTGGAGGTTTATGCAGGTAATCGCTTTGCCCCTGTTCTGTTCGTACCGAGTGGTTTTGCAGCAAAGCTTGGCTAAATTGACTGACAAGATACACCATCATGACAGTTTGGAAATGAATTCCAAATTATCGTGATATCTGTCATTTTACGAGGTTGTTTGCATCTTCGAAAGTAATCGTTTTGTTTTCTATTTAAAAATATTGAATTTAGCAAGTAAATTCTGTCGTGAATTGCTTTATGAAAATGAAAATGAAAGAAACTTGGATTTAATTATAATACTAAATGTTGAAATTTGACATGCTTACGTCAAGAAGGTTATTCCTAAATCATGTTTTAGTTCATGACTTATGAGTGATTCCCCCGTATGAGTGATGAAATTTTATATTTAATATATGGGGAAAAAATACCTTAATACAATTATGTATATATATATATATGTATATATATATATATACATATATACATACATATATATACATACATATATACATATATATATATATATAT